TTGTCCGGACTGAAAACAACAAACTTTCATGGATGTTTTGCTGATTCGTTGGGGTGTGTAAATGACACCAACACCCCTTCTCTCATCGGGAGAGTTGCCAATTGTTAAAGCAAGTGTTCGTTACTCCCTTATCCAGACGAGGTGTGTATACGACACCACGACCTCCCCTCTGACATGGTGTGTATGTGACACAATAACGATGAAATTTTTTTGTAGACTCGAAAGGAAGCATTCATATTACCTCAAAATCAGCGACAGTATCAATAAAAACAACATGCAATTAACGAAATACCTTTCATTCTCATCTCCTTCACCTTCCTCTTGCTCAGCAGTCACGATCGAATCGCCGAAATTCGACGGGGACGACTTGTCCAAATCCGAATTTTCCCTATCGTCCAAATGGAACGATGCCATTGCCTGATGGGCCGGCTGGCTTTCACTCCTGGCCAAGATGCGACCAGAACTTGGCGGATGGACCACCATCTCATCGGTGGCCACACTCGACACCAGTCGACTGAGACGTCCACTAGCGGTCGCAGTACGACGTGCGCTCAACATTCGATAAGAAATTCCTGAAAATCGAACGGGAAAATTTTCAGGTGAGTACGAAAATGAGATGAAAAATCAGGAAATTTGAAAAAAATTCTGAAAAACTCCACAAAAACCGACCCTCATTCCGTAACTTTTCTCGGAATCCCAATGTGGTCGGCGTGATAATCACTCGAAACGTTTCACCACTCGGTGAGATACGCCAACTCGAGCACGTCGATTCATCATCCACATCCGGCAACGCAGCAATCGTTGTTGTCTCACGCGGTGGTATTTTGAGAAATAGTAGAGTCATTTGAGAGGCACAGAGATAGAAATTTTGACGTGCACCCTTTTTCCACGAATGAAACAACTGCTCGAAAGCTTGAGTCCTGAATGAATTTCCATGAGATAGTTGTTGGAGAACTGGAAGATAGCGGCGAAAATGAACTGTCCAATACTCACCACTGCTCTGCAACGGCGTTGACGAACACACTTCCGAGTGCTTGCAAAGTTGGAATAGGCACACTAGCCGCACCCGTGCCCACAGCTTCCCGGGAGTTTGCGATATTTTGCCCGGGAATGTTGCTCTGCTGCTGCTGCTGCTG